AAATGTCAAATATTTATTAATTAAAATTGGCTTTAAATTCTTATTTCTGTTAGTCGTAAATAAAGTATAACTCGTTTAATAAACTTCTCGTTTTTATTAAACACTTGCTCGCAAGCTTCGCTCGTGCCTAATAAAACTCGTAACTAAAATGTCTTTTATAAAACTTGATTCGTAATATACCATTATCTACTCCTACATTGACAAACAGTGACTTTATGGCGTTTTAGTCAGGGGCTGAAGTTAACAACAGTGGCTTTTGGGCATTTTAGTCACGGGCTAAAGTTAGCTTTATTATAAATTGCGAAAAAGTGAGGTTAAATTTGTCAAATGTCAAATATTTATGAATTAAAATTGGCTTTAAATTCTTATTTCTGTTCGTCGTAGATAAAGTACCTATAGTATGAAACTCGATTTATAAGCTTCTTAAGACACTCGTTTTTATTAAACACACGCTCGCAAGCTTCGCTCGTGCGTTTATAAAACTGGATAATCTACTCCTACATTGACGAGCTGTGACTTTATGGCGTTTTAGTCACGGGCTGGAAAATTGGAAAAAAGTGAGGTTAAATTCTGATGACAGTTGACAGAATTTAAATTTTTAACAATTAAAATTGCCTTTAAATTTTGTTTTGTGTTCGTCGTAAATAAAGTATAGTATGCAACTCGTTTGTAAACTTCTCTAGACACTCGTTTTTATTACACACTCGCTCGCAAGCTTGGCTCGTGCTTAATTAATATTATAAAATCAATGAGGAGTACATTTTTAAATTTATTTCTTTAATTTTATGATTTCTTTCTTTAATTTTTATGATTATACAGCTCCGACTTGTAAATTCAGTTTTTTTTGTTAAATTTTTTTACATTGATATATACTTTAAAATTTTTAAAAACTAACCTAGTTATTGCATAAAAAATAAAAGACGGAAAATTATCAGACTAATAGACGGGGTTACCCCTTTCTCGGGGTCCTGTTCGGGTTTAAGCATTTAAAAAAAATCCATTTCTAATTCATAAAATATTTGTGATATGATGCATAATACTTTTATACTCCCACCTTTAAAACGCCCATTAACGTATATGTTTTCATGACACTTTGAATGATCTTTTAAATAATACACACCGTCGCGTCGATGCGATATCGACAAACTGTGACTTTATGGCTAAAACTCCATGGGCTGAAGTTAGATTTAAGTTAGTTCTCCAATGTCACAGAATCGTCACCCTTCTCTAAATAATACAAAACTGTGGAAATTATTTTATCTCCACGCGGTCTATAATTTAAACTTTATTGTTGTCAACATTCGATAAAGAAATACCTTGTTATGGCCTAGGCCGATAAAAATTTTTATGAGGCAAGTAATTAGTTCGATTTTTTCTCACTAGGGGTATTGTTTTGACAAATTAATCCTTTTCTAAGAAATTAACGTACTAAACTGGTTTAATTTATTTATAATAAGCACTAATTTGTTTGTTTTACTGTTATAACATTTTAATGTTTAATATTTTTCATTAAATTATTGTAAAATTAAATATGAATAATAAAACAAAAAGAGAGGTTAGGACATTGCAATTTGACGTTTCACAGTTGTGTTTTCTTTTTCTACGATTTAAATATCTTTAAATTTTAATTTGCTTTAAGTTTTCAGTAAAATTAAATGTTAAACACAGCGTAAACATTCCAAACTACCTATTTTTTTAATAAAAATGCAAACAAATTGAAATTAGATACCTATTTATTAAACAATTAATTGAATTCAATGTAATAGCAAGAGGGTAAGTAAACCATTTTCTTACAAAAATTCATTTCTACTTAAATCATGTAGTTAGGTATTGTCAAACTATTACTGCTTCTAAAAGGAATAATAATTATTGTACATTTAATGTAATCTTTAGCTAATAAATAAATGAGATTAAAAAAAGTGAGGTTAGGGCGCTTTCATGTTGAATTAAATTGACCTATATAAAGTGCTTTGAAGATAAAATGTTGTATGCCATTCGGCCAAGAAGTGTCTTTTTGTGCTTCGCTCAATTGTAGGCCTCCGCTACGCGTCGGCCTTCAAACTTTGAGCTTAGCACAAAAAGCCTTACTTCTTAACCTAATGACATAAATAACTATTATTATCTCAATATAAAAATACAAAATTATTAAATAGTTTCTTGATGACAGTCTAAAAAGTTTATATGCACGTTTGTATGGACCTTTTGATTTCGCGGGCAGCAAACCAGTATTTGCCGATAAAGCATTAATAATATCGGATGGAGTACCCATCAAAACATCCTCTTCACTTTTACTGTAAAAAACTGCTTGTATATCGGGTTTAGTCCCTTTTTAAGAAAAAAAATTCACAGGAAAATTTAACAAGCTCACACTGACATTTTGAAAGCCGGTACAGATTCCTAATATCAATTTTGGTTACTAAATTTTTGTAAAGATGTTGGCTTTATATACATATTTAAATTAATTAGTAATAAATTATTTTTTATTATAATAATAATAATAATACTTTATTAATCCAACAGACAACAGTCCATATAAAGGATATAAATTATATATAATATTAGTTGTGAAAAAGTGGAGTATGCAACTCGTTTAAAAACTTTTAGATACTCATTTTTATTAAACAATCGCCTGCAAGCTTCCCTCGTGAATAAAATATACTTCTTTTTTCAAGCGTACAATAATTTTCATATTATAAAACTCTTTGTGTATCGTGTTTAAAAGTAAATATAATTATAATTCAGACAACCACAGTCTTGCCAACCCGTAGACCTGCATTTTCGCATGCTTACAAACATATAATATATCTACTAAATGTTGTCTAAATTACATTAAATTACGTTACGTATCATTACATTACATTAAATGCTAACTAAATTCACCTGAAGAGCTTCTTAGAAGCATCGAAATTTTTTTTTATTTCAGACTGTTGGCAACCCATTTTTATTCATGTCAACGATGTGATTTTGTTTATCAATATTATATTATAAAATGTGAATAAAATCATTAGAAGTAAATGTAAACTTTGTCTAGCTCTTAGGAGCATCAAAATAAATAAAACAAATTTTGACGTTTTATTTTGAGTGACATTAAATATCTAATTTTGACATTTCGCTTCACGTCAATTGTGCCAACATAGTAACATGAATTAAACTAAAGATTTATTTAATTTTATTGATAAATTATGGTGGGAATAGACAAAATGGTATGAAAAAATCTTGTTACAATATTATTATTATTATTATTATTATTATTATTATTATTATTATTATTATTATTATTATTATTATTATTATTATTATTATTATTATTATTATTATTATTATTATTGACAATAAGTTATTGTGATACTCGTACTATTGCCGCACTCGGTATCACAAATTGTATCACTTGTTTTACAATATACTATATATAGTAATTAATTAATAATTAATACACTGGCGGCAACAATTAGGGGATATTGGTAAATTTCAAGTATTCAAAATTTTGCTCATGGTTGTAATACTATAATTTAAACCTATAGGTTTAAATTATAGTATACCTTATAAATGTGTATTTAATACACATTTATAAGGTATACTATAATTTAAACCTATAGGTTTAAATTATAGTATTACAACCATGAGCAAAATTTTGAATACTTGAAATTTACCAATATCCCCTAATTGTTGCCGCCAGTGTATATTAATCCAAATAACTACAATAAGATTTTAGAATTTTTAAAAGTTTTATTAATATTTTTCTACCTGTTTAATCAGTATCATGGTTTTTAGAGGTTTTAAAAACAATGTCACCAAGGATCTTTAAAATAAGGGAACTTCTAGACGTTTGTGTAATACAATGTGTATTGGTTGTTACCGCCTCACAGGCAGATTGATAATTTTGGTTTGACATAGTCTAACATAATTATGTATTATTGCAAAACTGTGATGTAAATGTTAAAAAAAATTATATGAATTTTCTACGGGCATTGGTGCATACAAAAAATGTTCATTGATTTCTTATTGCCACTTTATGAGATTTGAATTAATCCAATTCTATTTTATACAGCCCATGTATTTTTTTATTTTAGTTGAAAACCAGTCAGACAATCTTACTTAAACTTTGTAAATATGTTATAAGTGAACCCAACTACAATCTATAATTTTTTCAATTTTTTTTATCGTGACTAAAGTTGAGGCCCGAACCTTTATAAACCATCACTAAAAAGTTTTCAATATTTTTATGTAAATAAAATTTGTCTTATAAATAGTCTTCAAACATTAAAGTAACTAAAATTACATTTAATCTTAATACCTTATAACTTAAAAAATATATATTTTTTATAGTCAAATTAACCCCCTCTCAAGTGGTATAATGCGCCATTTTTGGGACATTTTTTAAAAATTAAAACTAACTAACGTATTTACGGTTTAAAAATATTTTTATAAAATTTAAAAAAATGTACCTATAGGTACCTATACCTACAACAAAATAATTTTTCATATAGACGGTTTTAAGTAAAACCTGTATAGGTACTATACTATACATATGTATATATATTGATCGCATACTAGTTTTAAATAGTTTTATTAAATACAAGATTGTAATTATGCACGAGCGGAGCTCTTCTAGCGAGTTTTTAATAAATGACGGATCTTAAGAAATTTATAAATTATATATAAAATGAATTGCGTACCATACTTTATCTACGACGAAGTAATGTCAATGTCAATTTTATTTGACATTTTGTTAAAGTTAATTAGTTTTTAAGTAAGAAAACATGAAACTATAAATAAATTAAATAAATTCGCATAATTTTTAACACATTATTTGCATCTCCTAAATTAGTTTGGCAGTACATTTTAAATATTTATAACCAAACCTGATTTAATTAAAATCCAATTTAAAATTTCCAAAATAAACAAACCCTATAGGGTTAGTTTAGTTGTATACTGTGCATCAACGAAAACGCTGAAAAGATCGCATCTTCCAACTCCTCGAGTCTGATTGGTCCATTTCACGAGGTAGTACCGGCAACATGGAGGGGGACTGCATGGTATTTAAGCGCGCGGCGCTGCCCATGAAATGCATTTGTTATCAACCCAAGTTGAAGCTACCACGAACCATGTTCCCCTCAGTGTGCAAAGTTAAAATTATCGAGAGTGACGCGCAACGTTACATGAAACCAAAAAGACCGGAAACGTTAACCATGGAAATCAAAAAGAAGTCCGGTGTTGCGAAAAGGTGTCTTTTCGGTGTGGCGGATCCTCAAGATACGGAAAACATGCTGCAACAACAAGAAGAGCTGGATAGTTTAAGATTTATGGAGAGATTTGGATTTTCTGTGGAAGATCTGGAAAATTTAGAAAAGGAAAATACGGAAGTGAAAAGGAAACAGTGCCCTAAAAGTAACAGGAAGATCCTCAAGGCCAAAAGGAAAGTTTTTAGCAACTTCAACAATCAACCAGTTTTGACAGGTAAATTGAGTTTTAATTGACATACAAACCTATAAAACTTATTTCTTTTATTATTTTAAAAGTTACACTTAAAATTTAAAAAAAACTATAATTTGATGGCCAGTTTTTAATTTCTTGAACATAGGTTTTAGGGTGAATTACATATTCATTTATTTTTATGATATTGGCCTATTTAATATTAAAACTATAGATGCGATTTTTATACTAAAGTTAACATTACTGGGCACTGCCTTGTGGTCAGTAGTAGGAACCACTTAAGTTAATAATATTTATCTTAAAAGTTCGTAAATAATCATTCTTTAATTAAAGAATTCCATTGATAGTAATGTTTTCTCAGCCAGCTCAAATAAAGTAACAATTTAAAAACCATTAGAAAAGCTATGAAAAAGTGATGAGTGACAAGACCTTTCAGATTGTTCAATTAATTTCTGTTTTTAACTTTAAGTAACGAGTTTTTTATTGAAATAAATAAACGAGTTAATACGATCTTAACAAGAAGCAAGCGTCAATTCATTTTATGTTATGATTTAAAAATTAAAAAATGTTATACTTACTCTTGGAAAGATCTAACAAAAATGTAGGAATAATAATATTAATTGCAATCAAATACAGTGGGAACCAAAATACACCGTAATTTGATAATCAAAATCATTACACCGCAATCCTTCGCGGTCTGGTGGAAACCGTGTGATTGTTACACTTGCACCACTTTTTTATTTTATCCATGCATTTAAATTAAGACAACAATGCCCTGATTTGTATCTTTTGTCACAGTACGGAAACACGGAATTTAAATATTAACGAACTTTTAACAGATTTTTCCAATTGTAAATTATTATTATTATTAAAATTTTACCTGGATAATAAATAATATTTCGTTTCGCCATATGTTTGCATTTTAAAAAGTATGTGCAGCAGCCAGCTGATCGAACAGATGTTCGGCGTTATAATTGGTGAAATATGCATCACTCTTAAAAATATACAGGGCGAATCGAACACTGCATGTGTAGGCATACGAGTTTTCTAATACAATTCAAAGAATTTAATTACATTGTCGCAACTCAAAGGCCACTATCATTCCATTCATAGCGGAAAATGAGGTCAGTTTACACATAGCAACAAGTTTCTTTGATTGTTAAAAGAATTTATATTTTACAATTTACTAATTTATTTTTTTTGTTGCAGATTTTTTCAAATCAAAGAAAAATATATCAACATACGAACAAAGCAAGGACAAAAAAGAGAACTGAAGACCAAAAATGTATTTATAATATTTATATGTGCTCTATCCAAAGTTATTTAGTTTGTAGATAAAAAACGACTGTCATGTTATATTTTTTCTATAAAAAAATGTACCATACTCACGTCTAGTCCTTTATGTATGTATTTGTATATTTGTATGATATTTGTTAATTTAATAAATGTATTTATTGACAAGATAATGCTGTATTTTTATTTTGGTATTACGTATTGTGTATCAGCTAAATATTTACTATTTGATTATAGTAAACATGATTATAATATCATTAAAAAGCTATTATGTTGCTTATTTAAAGTTAATTGGTCCTATATAAATAATTAAAAATGAACAGTAGTGAAAAAACGATTAAAGTATTATTGGACTTACTAATTTATTTTTATTTATTTAAATTTGTTTTGTCTGATTCATAAAATTTAACCTGATGTATTTTTGGCGGGATGTAAATCCTTTTCTAAAGCAGAGTTAGGCACTTACGCTTTCCACCTGCTAAAATAGTAACAAAAAGGTTTTATTGGTTTGCCTTATCTTGCTTTATTCTGTATAGGTAAGAGTTCTGTAAACAGTGCAGATGTTCGATTTTTCTACCTTTCGTCTTTGGCTAAATGGCGCGAAAACACCGTATCCTACTTACAAGGTGCCCGTCTTTTAAATGCAAGAAACACGAGAGGTAGAATACCTAGATTTTGAGTAGGTGTGGCCATTTTACAGGGTGTAGGCGCATCTTTGCAACAGCTGATCTATGAAATTTTGATCATCTAGAGTTTTGGATTGAAATATGGAAGTTTTTACATAAATTGGTAAATTTAAGTATATGATGTGGGCTTTTAATAAATTATGTATGTACGAGGTATTTTTTCTCTACATATGGGAAACTGGGTAATAAAATGTTGTTATTGCCTTAACAAATTCTTATGCTTTTAATTTTTATAAAAGTGTTAGAAAAGATGTTTTTAAACTTCAGTCAGTCAAGTTGTAATAAAACTAAACAAGAATGTTGTTTTTTGTTAAGTGGTTAATAATACGACGATTGTATTCTCGATTGTTGATCATTAATGACATACTTTCTTAATATAAATTAGTCAAAAATGACTAATTGTCATAGCAAAAAAGCAGCCACTTATAGCTGCAGTCCACATCAATTAGTATCGCGGGCATTTAACAGTCAATTTCAATGAAAATTGCATCTCAAAAAATGTTCTACTTTTATAATTTTTGACGACATTTTCGTAATGTCCAAGATACAAATTGCTGTTCATCACCAGAAATTCATTTCAAGATAGTACTTCTTATGAAAGCATACTTTCTATTTATTTAAAATATTCCTTCCCTTGTATATAATTCCTTAGCCACAGCTGATATCTGGTAAGAAATAAGTAATTTTTTCCGCTACCATGGTATGCATTGTGCATGTTATGCATTGACGCATTGTATGCATGGTATACCATATATTGACGACGCTACAGTGTGATTGATTTTGAATGTAAACATCAGATTTAAATAAATATGACAATTTTATAAAATATTGTTTTTAAAATTAAGATTAGCATCACTCGACAAAAAAAAACATTTTCTCGCGTGGAATTACTTCCTTGATGAATTCCTTGCCTCGCCTATCAGCTCGTTCGGAAACTTTCACCATCGAGAGTACCTAATTGCAAAGATTCCGCGCTCCGTAAACAATATACCAATGAATTTAATTATTGTTTTTTTTATCCCAGGAAATAGGTATTAAAATTAAATTAGACCAAAATTCTTCCGTTTTTTGTCCATGGATTGAGTTACAAAATACGTATTTGTGTATTAAGAGCGCAAAGTGATATATTGTCGCTCTGAGCGAGAAGTTTGGCTATCTCGCAAGAGCGGCAATGTCACTTGGCGCTCGAATTACACAAATGGATTTTTTCTACAACCGGTGTTTTTATAAAAATGTTTGGTAATAATTAATAATTATTGATAACCTCAAATTTGACTTTAGTGGCCAAAGTCGCAGTGTATGCTAGACGTTTCGTTATTATGGTTTCCATGGTAACTAAGTGAGCGTTTTGGTTACTTTGTCGCTTGGCGAGCGACTGTAAAAAAACGCTTGCTCTTCGGAAAAGTGCAACTTTGCGCTTTCTTTTGGAAGCGCAACTTTATACTTTTCGCTCGGTTGTAGAAAAAGGTATTTTTGATTAAGCAGAAACTGGCTCCATTTTGATTTAAAATTAAAAAAAAGACGTTGCAGCTACCCTTCTGGCATACTGCCCTTTACTGTGAAGGTAAAACTTACAAACTAAAGTCTTTTTACACATTAAAACGTTATTTTCTAAAAAAAAGTAAATGAAATAAACGCAATGGAAATGGAGCGCTCTAATTGGACCATTTAAAAGTGCAAATTTTTTTAATTTTGGATATTTCAAAATCCGATTTTTTATTAGAATTTTATCGTGACTATTGGTCATCCTTTATACAAAAATATCTAAGAGTCTTTTAAAAGCTGGTCCGGAAGTTTGTAGATCATTTCGTTGAAAAACCTATAGGTGCGACATAGGTGGGCTTTCCTGATAAATAATAAATGTACACATGTAAATTGTACAAAATATGTATATTATACATATACAAGGTGTCCCTAAACTTAGTGGCATAAATTTAGCAGCAGATTAAGCAAGTCAAAATAAGACGAAAATCTAAATAAATATTTTTCCTAATTACGTATGTTTAAAAGATACAGGGTGATAAAGTGTTACTTATCATATCAGTTTTTTTAATATAACTTTTACTGTGGTAGACTTGGAAAGGTGATATTTTGCGAACAGTCACTTACTACAAAAGCAAATATTCATACATAATTGCAATTCTTCGAGTGAACACAGTGTCGTAGAAACAGGGGTTGCTTAAGCTTATTGACCCATACAATTTTTTTAATTGAAAAAACTACAATTTTTTTTAATGTGACGGTCAGGGCAAAAAGTCCCAAGACTCATGGAATGCCCTTTTTAGTTTTTTCAATTAAAAAATAAAATTTGTTATCATATACCTACCTTTTAATCCTTTTAAATAATGCGATATAACAATTATTGTAATCTCGAAACCGGAACCGGTTTATTTTACCGAACTATGTAATCTAAAAATTGCATCAAATGTTATAAAATCCTAACCTCAATATTTTGTATGGGACAATAAGCTTACCCCCGTTTCTACGACACTGTGTTCACTCAAACAATTATAATTTAGTGTGAATATGTGTTTTGGTAGTAAGTGACTGTTCGCAAAATATCACCTTTCCAAGACTACCATAGTAGAGGTTATATTAAAAAAAACTGATATGATAAGTAACACTATATAAACCTAAGTAATTATGAAAAATATTTATTTGGGTTTTCGTCCTATTTTGACTGGCTCAATCTTTTCCTAAATTTATGCCAATAAGTTTAGGGACACCTTGTATATTTTGAGTCCTCAAATTTAGCAATAAAATAATAAATAAAAAATATCATCATCGAAGCTTGTAAATAAACATACCTATACAAATAGGAATTCAGGATAAAATTAAACTCAATTTCAATATACTAAAATCAATTGAATCCAACCCCAAAAGAAAACATAAATCTTAAAGGAACTCAACATTTATACAGTCCCGCCAAATAAACTTAAATCCAAAGACCATTTCTATTCGATGAATAGTACCATTACATACATACACGTGTACCCAATGACTCATAGACATGGAACTTCGGGTAAAATCTCGTTCGTACAAGTCAAGTAGGCTCGTATTGGTCCAAAGAAAATCTTCCAATTAGATGACTAATACAGACTAGACTGAACGCGAAGGAGATACTGATATGCAAGAACAAGTTGTATACATTTTTATTTTTTAAGTATTATGTAATAAAATCTATACAAAATAACAAAAACATGTTAAACAAATGATTACCTAATTCAATACAACCGTTGTTATATTTTTTTTTCGTAAAAAATCTTTGATTTTTAAAAAAAGGTCTAGTTTCTTGAAAATCTTTTAACATTACACCTGTTTTTCAAAAACAATTTCATTTATATGTACTTTTTTATGCAATATGACAAGGAATTACCATCAGAAATGAAAGTAATCAACTACTTACACCCAAAATAGATCAAACTAAACTATCAAAACATGTTTATAACGTAAAATATTTGGTTAAAAAACACCCGTTTGGTAATTTGCATAAGAAGGGCGAACATTTTCGGTTACCCGCATAATTCTCAAAATTTTGACTCGTGCCAACGTTATTTTTATCTGCATGTGCCCCTATGTTTATTCAATTGTTATAGGTATGTCCTTTATGAATTTAAATCGAATCAATTGAACACAGGTAGGTGTAGAAATAAATTCATTTAAAATGGGATCGGTTAAATTTAAAGCAACACACTTTTTGATGGATTAGATTTATACCTGGAGACTTTTTCATCAAGTGACATCATTTGTTTAATTGAACATAATAAATATCAGTATCGTGTAAATTTTGTGACCTTTATGATTTGTGTTCAAAATATTTCCAAACTACAGTAATTGTACTACAGTGTAGTTTGGAAATATTTTGAACACAAATCATAATACTATAATAGTTCCAGAATTAAAAATTATTGAATATTAAAGTAGTAGGTACATAAAATCAATGGTTTTACAACATATAATTTAAAATAAACGAACAAACAATATCTTTCAGACTTCACACTAATTGGAAAAATGGTTTTTAAGAAATAATTCCATTTCTGTTTTCAATCGGGCCTTGGTAAGTTTCAATTAAGGCTGTAAATTTTTTAGCCTTAATTTACAGTGTAAAACTTCAGAAGATAATATCCGCGATGAAAACCTGCTATTTTCTATTATATCTAAGAAGTTTTTTCCATGGATATTTAATTTTTGCGGCAGGACTTTCCATTTTGTCGTTAGAATCCGTCCTATATAGCCACCTGTGAAACGTGAGACTTTTGAAACCATATTTAACATTTTGAACGTATGGGGTAGTTAAATAATAAAATAATTAACAATTAATCCAATTCAAAAGTATATTTTCTTCTTTGTAACTTATCACGAAAATTCCGGGATTGGGACTTTTTATTCCGGGGTTTTCGGTATCGGTTGGAATAAGGTTTAATCCCCCTCAAAATTTAAGAAAATTAAATTTAAGAACAATTTTTGAACAAAACCTGAT